AAATAAGAGGATGTCTTGGGTAGGAATGATCTTTACATCCTCCAGGAGGATAACAGGAATGTGACGAATGTATGCAGAGGAGACTGATGGAGGACCAACACTTGCTGGTTTTGCTGTCATTTGTTTTATTTAATGGTCAATGTTATATTCCCAGTGCTCCCGGCTTGTCAAATCTAAAACCATTATTTGAATACATTCAAGCAGTTTGAGTTTGATTTTACCAGTTACAATGACATTAAAGGCATTAACTTTAGTCTTGAACCTGAAACGAATCTGTATGTTTCCCTGGTTGAACTGGTGCACTCAGACTGGACTGTTCCCATTTCCCTCACAGAGTGCAGATTTTTCAGAGAAGTTCGACACGTGCAGATTGAATGCTCTTTGATTTCAGTATCTCTTGTCCTTATAAATAAGTTACCTGCACTCCTGCAAACAACCTCAAAATATGGATTTGTGTTTTTCTATGTGCTCACAGTTTCCCAGGCTGTGGTGGTGGAGGTGAATGAGGGGGAAATGTTTGTCCTATTACCCTGCCAGTACTCAAGAGTCATATTTAAGAACCACACAGTGATGTGGACTCGCAATGATCTCAATCCCCAAACTGTCCACCGACAACGAGGAGGAGGAGATGATCTTAGAGAACAAAACCAGCGTTACAGCGAGCGCACATCGATGAGACCTGATGCTCTGGACTCTGGAGACTTCAGCCTCACTCTGAGAAAACCAGCAGAGTCTCACAGTGGAAGATACACCTGCTCCATCACTGATGGAGAAGAAGAACTGATAGTGAGACGCATATGGCTGCAAGTCAAAGGTAATAAATAAATGACAGCTGCTGTAAGCACAGATCAAAGGCTAATGCCAGACTCAGGCCCAGCTTAAAATATGTTGGATGATATTAATTTTCTGTTGTTTTTTCCCAGCAGGATCTGTGTTCATGGAGTGGTTTATGATAACTTCATTCTGTGTTGTGGTCATCCTTGTTTGCATAGTGTATGTCTACGGTGCTCTCAGGAGTGAAGCATTACAGCACAGAGCAGAGAAGTAATGTGAGTCTGTGTCTTGCTTGTTGTTCTTTTGTATGACTGCATTCATGTTCAGGGGTTTAGCCGAACAGACACATGTTCTGCTGCTTTCCTCTCCGTTCTTTAGGAAATGTAAGAGGAGAAGCTTGCTCTGCTCCACAGCTGACCTGCCTCAGGAAACTACAGTGGACTGGAGGTGCTCAAACTACAAACATGGCTGTCCACATGTGATGGTTTAACTGGCATGCTAAAAGCAGCCAGAGTGAAAATGATTCAGATCTGTTAACCTAAATATGTAACTGCTGTTTAGATTGAGGTCAGAGGTCCTTAATACTGGATATTACACTCTGGACAGGACACACACACCAAACTGTCTGTTTTCTGTGTTGTACTGATGTTAAGCTGTTTTCTAGCAGGGCAGTTTTTCCTTTTTGACTCTGCTGGTGACCATCACTTCAAAAACTCAAACTCTTACCAAGTATGTTTGTCTTATTTCTTGTGACAAAAAAAAGTCATGACACTTAAAATAAGACAAAAGCAGCTAAAGAGTAATATTTCAGTAAGATATGTGAACTTGTTATTAGCCAGTGAATCTTGAAACTGGAGAATTTTCACTTGTTCTATTGGCAGATTTTTCACTTATTTCAAGTAAAAAATATCTTGTATCAAGTTCAATTCAATTCAATTCAATTTTATTTATATAGCGCCAAATCACAACAAAAGTCGCCTCAAGGCGCTTCATAGATACAGAGAAAAACCCAACAATCATATGACCCCCTATGAGCAGCACTTTGG